TCCCAGGCCTTAGGCAGCATATTGTATGCCTCAATCATAATCATTCACCTTACAGTATTTTTGAGCAATGCCCCCTGTTTTTCCCTCCTGAGTGGGTCCTGAGTTAAGCCATGCATGGTAGTATTTTCATGTGTTTTATTTCCTTTTTTTTCAAAAATACTGATAACATACTATTAATTTTATATAATAACCTGCATTTTAAAAATTTTTGCATTGCAGAATTGATATAAAAGATACTTGGGACTTGGAAGTGACTCTTGACCTATTTTTCTAGCTTTTTTACCCATAATATGACATATATGATAGAAATATCCCTGTGTCCATCTTTAACAGTGTAAAAAGAAACCTCTTCCTCTTTCTACCTCATCCATGATATCAGATATTTTTTTTTCCCTTCTGTGTTCATTTTGGGAAATGTTACATGGAGGATATATTAGTGGATTTATTAGTTTCTTGTGAATCCCATAACACCACAAACTGAGTAGTTTAAGACAACAGACATTTATTCTCTCATAGCACTGGAGGCCAGAAGTATGAAATCAAGGTGTCAGAAAGTCTGCATTTCCTCTGGAGGTTCTATAGGAGAATAGATTCTTTTTCTGTTTCAGCTTCTGTTGGTCCTAAGCATGTGGCTATATCACTCCAGTCTCCATCTTCATAGTCCTAGTCCCTCCTCCTATTCTGTCTAATCTCCCTCTACCTTATCTTTATAAGTATACTTGTCATTGTATTTAGGGCTCATCTGGATAATCCAGGATGATTGCCTCATCTTAAAACCCTTAATTACATATGCAAAGATTTTTTCTCCAAATAAGGTAACATTCACTGGGTATAGGGATTAAGTTGCAGACATCTATTTGAGGGGTTCACCTTTCAACCCTTAACAGAGGATTTGGGAGGGGAAGTGGGATAAAGGACTTCTCAGTGGGTGGCTGTCATGGTGATATATCTGCAAAATGAGTAGACTTTTTGTACTACCCAGGTTTAAGATCCTATGGACAGCTTCAGTGGATGTTATTATACTAAGTGACAATCCTCAGTTTCTTTAGTCAGTGCCTGAAAGGGGAGGAATAAGGTGTTAAAGGGGAAAAAGTCATTTGCATGTGATATATATTGTGTCTGTTTTAAAGGAGAAACTGATTTTTAAACTGTGACCGATTTGTTTATATCCATTTATTGGTCATCAAGTTTACAAAGTTCTCTCATTATTCATTTTCTGAACTTTTAAGGTTTTCATATCTGCTGGCTCATACTCATTCACTTTTGAGCATCTCTTTGAGTGGAGTGAGAAGCTGAATATACAAATAGCCTGCAGTCGCTATATAAAAATAAAACTCTGACCCATAAACTGCAACATCCAACCTGAGAAGCTAAACCCTAACCTGCGCAGCAAGCCATCCAGGAAGTCAAACTACATCCTCTAGCCATCAGCCCTAAACATCTAGAACTTGATCAATAACTGCCAGGTTCCCTAATTTTTGTACCTACTTCCAACTTAGGAGCAATTAGAGAAAGTCAAATATGCTCCCCTAACTGATCACATAAGACGTCCCACTTATAGTGTTAGCCTGCCTCCAGCTTCCCCATGCCAACAGCCTCCAATCAGGGCATATATGAAGCCTTCCATTTTTACCACTATAATGTTTTTTCACTCTTGCTTTGAGTCTCTGCAAATTGCAAGTGAGGGTGGCTCACTCCTTTGCTATAGCAAACTGAATGAATAGCTTTTAGTTCTTATTTTGGTGGTTTTCATTTATTTTCATGGGAGGCATTGGAAAGTTTGGAATCCACTCTCACTCACTGAAATGAAAGTGTAGGCCTCAGGGAGGCTGCCCTCAATCCCACCATTCTAGACTCTTACTTAGGCACTGCAATTCTATGGTAGTGTTGCAGTGAGAGGCTGCCAGACTTCTCTGGCTAGATTTTGGCAATAAGAGGCAGCAGGGCTTTTTACTCTCTGTTCCTCCTAAAACTAGCTGAGATTTTTTAAGGAGTCTATTCTTGCATTTCCTTGAGGGTTTTTTTTTTTTTTTTTTTTTTTGAGACAGAGTCTCGCTTTCTTGCCTAGGCTAGAGTGAGTGCCATGGCGTCAGCCTAGCTCACAGCAACCTCAAACTCCTGGGCTCAAGCAATCCTCCTGCCTCAGCCTCCCGAGTAGCTGGGACTACAGGCACGAGCCACCATGCTCGGCTGATTTTTATATATATATATTAGTTGGCCAATTAATTTCTTTCTATTTTTATGGTAGAGACGGGGTCTTGCTCAGGCTGGTTTTGAACTCCTGACCTTGAGCAATCCGCCCGCCTCGGCCTCCCAGAGTGCTAGGATTACAGGCGTGAGCCACCGCGCCCAGCCTCCTTGAGGGTTTTGACCATAAGAGGAGCCAAGCTCTGGGACTTCTTTTTTAGGGACCCACACTACTGACTCTTTTATTGTTGTCTTCTCTTCTTTCAGATCTTCCTCCCTGCTGTCTAGGAAGAGCCTTTTATCTCACCTCTGTAATGGGTTCAAATCCTGACATTATCACTTATAAGCTGTGTAATATTGTGCAAATTACTACTTGGTAACTCATTTTCCTCATCCAAAGAATGGAAAAGATAACAAACAGTACCTACTTCATAGCGTTGTGAGGATCAAATGAGGTAAATTTACATACAAAAACTTTAGAACAGTGCCTGGCACATAGTGTTTATGAACTGTCGGTTATAATTACTTTCAAGGGAGGTAACAGTTTTAAACTGTTACTAGTGCTGTGATAGAAGTAGGTAAAGAGTACAATCTGGGTCATAAAGAAGATTGGAGTTACATTCTGTTAGGGAACAAGATGTCACGAAAGGCATCATAGGGGAGTTATACTTAAAAGATCAGTAATCACTTGTCAAGCAGATGGTGGGAAGATACAGGACTGTGAGTGTGTACAAAAAAGCAAGAAAATGCAAAGCTGAAGCATGGGGGAACTACAAATAGTTAAGTATGGTTAATGGTGGAGAAGGGTGTAACTGAGAGGTGGGAAAGAATGATCTTCAGATGCCTGTTTCAAAGAATGAGTATGGAGTTTAGATTTTAACCTGTAGCTCAACAGGTCTCAAAAATTACTGTACCTGAGAATCACCTGGAGCTACTCATTTAAAATTTATCTTTGCCCTAGCTTTAGATTTTTGGAGGAAGGTTCAGGGATCTGCATATTTAATTAGTACTTCAGATGATTCTGAGGAATAAGGTTTTCTTATACCACACTGTGAGAAACTTTCTGTTGGAGGCTATGTAGACTTGATTAAACTTGCTTTTCTAAATATCCCTCTAATGCCATTGTTCTCAACCTTAGCTGTTACCATTTGTTAGAGGTGGGATCCAGAGATTATAGTTTTAAAAATTCCTTAGGTGATTCCAATGTTCAGCTAAGGTTGAAAAGCACAAATCCAGCAGCAATGTGGATGACCCACATTAAAATAGAAAAACTAGAAATAGGCAGTTAAGTAAGATATCATTGTAATAGTACAGGCAAGAGTGATGAGAACATGAACAAAGGCAATAGCTGGAAAACAGAAGAAGTAGAGAGTAACTGAGACGTTAAGACTAGCTCATCTAGGATTTGATGATTGACTCCATATAGGGGTGAGAAAGTGGGTGATATTAAGGATGACTTCCAGGTTTTTAAGTTGGGGTTTGAGTAAATGCACTTGCCATTCAACAAGATGGGAACTATGGGAGGAGAAAGAGATTTAGAAGACTACCATTTTATATTAGAGGTGGGAACAAGGGAGAGGTGACCTGAAATTATTGTTATTCTTTAGTATTGGTTCCCAGATTTCAGTGTACAAAAACAAAATCACCTGAGCTTTTTAAGAGTACAAATTAAAATGCTCGACATCTCTAATCATTAGAGAAATGCAAATCAAAACCACAACGAGATATCACCTAACCCCGAGATTGGCCTCTATCAAAAAATCCCAAAACAACAGATGCTGGCGAGGATGTGTAGAGACAGGGACACTCTTACACTGCTGGTGGGACTGCAAATTAGTGCAACCTCTGTGGAAAAGAATTTGGAGATACCTCAAAGAGCTAAAAATAGAAATACCATTCAATCCAGCAAAAGCACTATTAAGCATCTACCCAAAAGAGCAAAAGACATTCTATAATAAAGACATCTGCACCCAAATGTTTATGGCAGCCCAATTAACTATTGCAAGGATGTGGAAACAACCCAAGTGCCCATCAATTCATGAGTGGATTATTAAAATTTGGTATATGTATACAATGGAATATTAATTATAAGAAACAACAGTGATCTAGCATCTCTTATATTTCCTTGGCTAGAGCTTGAACCCCTTATCTGATGTGAGGTATCACAAGATCACAAGAATAGGCTCCACATGCACTTGTCATCAAATTGGCACTGACTGATCAACACTATGGTGCTCACATGGTAGTAATATTCTCCAGGGATTAGGGGGGTGGGGGGTAAACTCACAACTAATGGACACGGTGAGCATTGTAGAGGGGAAGGGCATGCCTCTGATCCTCGCTTGGGTGAGGCAAAGACATAAAATGTAACCAAAATGTTTGTTCCCTCATAATATCCTGAAATAAAAATAAATAAATAAATAAAAATAAAATAAGATAATATAGAGAATTCAGTAGTCAAAAAAAAAAAAGTACAAATTCTTATTCCTTTTCCCATCTTCTTTTTAGGAGGACTTGGAATGGGGCTCAGTGATCTGCTTCTTTCTTTCTTTCTTTCTTTCTTTCTTTCTTTCTTTCTTTCTTTCTTTCTTTCTTTCTTTCTTTCTTCTTTCTTCTTCCTCTCTCTCTCTCTCTCTCTCTCTCTCTCTCTCTCTCTCTTTCTTTCTTTCTTTTTTTTTTAATAAACAGCCCGGTACAATGTTTAAGCCTTTGTTAAATGTCCTGAGGAACATTTAAAAACTAGAGCTGAAAGCAAATTGAAAATGGCTCTAAAAGTCTATTCCATGCCTATAAATGGACATTTATTAGTAATTCTTAAAAGTTTGATACCTATAGACAATTAAGATGTTTTACACAGTTCTATAAAATGTTCACAAATGATTGAATCATGATAAATGATTTTAATGCACAATTGAAAAGGTAAAGGTCTGTGTGTTAAAGTGATTAATTTAATGTAACAGTTCTGTCATTATAATTAAAAGTGATATATATGTAAGTGTATCTGGACCCATATAAGTAAATATCTCTTGTATCACAACTGCTCATTCATTCCATCTTCAGGAATTTCAGAATCTCTTTGTTCTCCTTTGCCTTGTGAAACATTTCAAAATCCTAAAAAAAATTAAAATGAACTTTAATACCAATGTTGATAATTCCCAATTATAAAGTCATTAAACTCAGCTGTCCAGGTTAAGTTTGCTAATTATCTTGCCAGACCTTTGCAAACTTCTGCCAGCTAAGTTAGATGAAAAAATTCCCTAGAATACCAGTTATTTCATATTATAATGTACGATGAAAACCACTGCATAAGTATCCCAAAACAAGCAGTGTGATATATTTCCCTTTTATGACAATCTTTTCATCATAAAGTACAAATTGTTTTGTCTTCAGGATCATAATTAACTTATTCTATAGATGGGCAAACTTGACCCTCATGCCCCACAGACATATTTTTTCCCATGTATATGACCTTAAGATATGAAAATAAAATAAAATGGACATTTACTCTTACTCCACAATATTCTTGGCCATTGAATATCTGAGGTGGTAGAGCCTTAGGGGTAGATACCTTCATCCTCATTTCTTGAAGTACTTTCAAACTGACAGAAATATCTATTAATTCATACTTTACTTTGTAAGAATCTAAAATTCTGATAACTTCTTCCTGTCTCTGCTTCACCTAGATAGAGGTATAGAGAGGTAGAAATATGTTAATCAACTGGTCCCAAAGTTTTTATGTATTTTTCATTTTTTTTCTGTGTATTATGTTATGGAAGAAGGACGATTTTTAATGGTGTAAAGTCTCTTTAAGAAATAAAAGGTAATTTTCCTGTGAAATCACACCCCCCACACACATATACATACATATGTACATTTTATATATATGGCATATATGTCATATATAAATATGTTTAATAGGTATATTTTATATATAATATATATTATTTTTTCTTCCCATGGATTTTTATCTATTTAGGCATAGTCTCTGATTGTAATTTGGAACTTGTAGCATGTTTCCCTTGAATCTAAAAACTTGGTATCATGCCCATTTCCATATATATAAAAAAGAAGAACTATAGTAAGGTTTCAGTGGGGGCTAAAAATCCCTAATGCATTATAAATATTTACCAGATTGACTTCATACTGCAATGAAGTGGTAATAACATTCTGCCAACAGTTGAGGCAGGCCTTTGCATTCATCACTGCATTCATTTATGCTGATATCTATGGCAGCTCTGTATAGGAAATGGACATGATACCAAGGTTTTAAATTTGAGGGAAACATACTACAAATTCCAAATTGCAATCAGAGACTATGCCTAAATATCAAGATAAAATCCAGAGGATGAAAAATTAAAATAAATAAATACACAAGAGAATTAAGATTCACAAATATGCAAGTGGATAAAAATGGTCAGTTCTTGCTCTGTCATACCATATGAAATGTTAGACTTCTATCATATGTTAATAGGCTGTATTTCTCCCATTGTCTTTTCCCTTGAAACACATGCAACTGCTAAAGTAAAATTGTAATAGTTGGTTATCTTTTAAACCTATTTAAAAGATATTGTCACTACAATCTTTAAAATACCTTCAACATGAATCTTAGGTGAAGGTTGAGGTTTCTACGTTTTCACATGATAAGCTTGGACCATTTTGTCACATAAAACCTCTGATGATAGAATGAGAAAACATGTGAAAGCAATTTGACAAGTACAAACCCCAGCTTATTCAAGTGTGATTCCTGCGAAAGTGCTTGTCAGTAGGCTTTTTGTTTGATGATTTGAAAATGTAATCCAGCCGTGCTTAGAAAACTCTGTTTGTTTCCAATGGACAGCTGTGAAATTTCTGAAATTCCAAAATACAGCATTTCTACTTTCTAAGGCTTATTAGTTTTGAAAATTTCAAAAGCACGTTGAATGTGGCTTAAGTGACATTTTTAGTAGTTTTTCAAAACCTTTTTCAGAGGAACACATTAAAAGAAGAACAGTTGCCTTGACCAGTGCTATTCTGTGTGTGATTAACAGATAGGCAGCATCAGCATTATTCTACCTTAAATCTACAAAATCAGACTCTCTGGGGATTGGGTCCTAGGAATATGTTTTAACAAGCCCTCCAGATGATCTCTGTGGTACAGTTTGAGAGTCATGGACCAAGAGTTGGGTGAGTCCTCTGCTGCATCCATTGTGATCTTTATTCCAAAACATGCCCTCTTTCACACTCTTACTTCCATACCCAATAACATAAATCCCAGTATTAAAAACAACAACAGCAACTGGTCAAATTACCCATACTTTTCTTTTTAAAAACTCCTTCTTGTTATTATTGTTTCTTAGTACTCAGGTGAAATCACTAATCTACCTGGACAGGCTTTCCATAAAAGCAATGGACTTTTTCTAGGTTCAAATCAAATCTCATACCTCCCTGCAGCTATCGTGGTGTCTGGCACATAGCAAGTGTGTGATGAGTGTTTGTCAATCATTTATAATCAACTACCAATCCTTCAGTTTTCATGCTTCTCTAAAAAACTTTGCAGAATGAGGTTCTTAGCCATATAGTGATTCTTCTATTACTGTGCTGTACAGTTTATAACCACTAGCCACATATGACCATTGTGCCCTTGAAATGTGGCAGGTCCAAAATGAGATGTGCTATGTGTGCACAATACATAATGGACTTTGAAGACTGAATATGAAAGAAGAATGTGTAACATTTTAAAAATTATTGATTACATATTGCAAAGATAACATCTTTTATATTTTGTGTTAAACAAAATGTATTAAAATTAATCTCATCTCTTTTTTAAATGACTACTAAAATTATGTATGTGGCTCTCGTTTCTGTTGGACAGCATTGTTCTATAATACTTCCTATAACCTGGTCAAAAATATTCCTCTAAACCTTAATTCATCTAAGAAATGTTTGATCTATGTAAATACACTTGCTTCTTAGAAATCAACATTCAGTTTGGCCTTCTTCGAGGTTGCCTAGCCTTCTTTGAGGATTTTGGCCATCCACTCACTGGTATTTTTCCTCTCCCATCCTAAACAGGGTTTTTTATGTTTCTTTCATTTGAAATGTAGCAAAGTTGTTAGAGGTCCTTAAGATGGTTGAGCACAGGATATCAAAATCTCCCAGATCAACCAGTTCTCAGAGCACAACCTGGGTGAGGCTATTAAACATTTTCTCTGCTCTTTCTTACCCCTCCCACCTCTGTAATCCTAGAGGGTAGGGAGTTGAAGAATAAAAAGTAGAAAGGGGCTGGTAATGTCTTAGCACAATCTTGAAGTCCCCAGTCTCTCCCTCCCACTCCCAGCCCCTGCTGAGGTCATTTTCTTCCTACTCACCTCCCTAGAGCCTGACACGCTGGTGTAATACACTTTAACAGAACTCATTGTTCCAAGGCTACTTTGCAGAAGTAACACAGGGTCAACCTCTTCACCGCTGCTTCACGCTCAATTCAGCTTCGCTGAGTCCCAGCACCCGGCCCTGCCCTAACCCGTGGCGGCGGTTGCTAAGGGCCAGCGACCCGTGCGCTCAGGATTGGCTGGGAAACAAGTGCCTCTGTGGCGCAAGCGAATGCCCATTCTGGGGAACACAGTGCGGCTGGTGACGAGGGGGTGGAACCCCCACCGTGCTAAGGGCAGGGGTTGGACTCTTGCAGGTGATAAACTCCAGCTAAGTCCTCTTCTCTCTCCTCATCTGCCAGGCCCAGGGGCGGGGGAGCGGGAAGAACAAATGGACTCTGCAGTCCTGCTGCTCCTTTCCCCCCTCCCTGCTTGGGAATTGAAGCCAGGGGAGCCTTCCTGCTGGCAACCGCAGCAGCCGCCACGTATGAAGATCTTAGGCACCTGGGGAAGAAGATGGTCAAAATGCAATGTGATGAGAGAAGAAAAGAGATAAATAAACTCGTGTTGCCTGGCTTTGTAGGGACAGAGCCAGGGTGCTTGTAGGGATGTGACCAGCCTAGCACCCTTTGTTATCTGTTAGCATAGGGAGGTGCCTCCTTTCTCTCTCCAGTGCTCCCGCCCTTCTTAATGACCTGCTTTGCAGGCTGCCCTTTCCTTCTCGGAGTCCACCTTTTGGTTTGTGTAACAGCGGGTGCTGTAGCCCCTGCCTCTCCTAGCACTTCCTCTTCCTTTCCCCTGTGTAAAAAAAGATGACCTCTCGCTTAAATGCCTGCTTCCTCTTCAATACACCATAGCTCATTTTTTCCGGCCTTTTCAAGTTTAACTTTTCTCAGAAGTGACAGATAGTGACAATATTTACAGATTTTGTGGGTTTAACAAAGGTGGGAAATGGGAATTTTGAGTGAAGGGCCAAAGTACTGCAGCTCCAGCTTTTGAGTTAGATACATTTGTATTCTATGGCTTTATCACTTAAAAGCTATGGATATCAGACAAATTACTTCCTTCTGAGTGTCAGTTTATTGTTAAAGTGATGATGGTGATATCAACCTAAGAGCATCATTGTGAGGATTAAATGAATTGAATATGTAAAAGTGTTCCAGCTCTATCCAGACACACTTTTACATATTCAACCCATTCTACTAAATATCTCAAGAATGGACAAACAAGCACCATATGTACTCAGCAGCAAATTGGTATTAACGGATCAACACCTAAGTGGACATATAAGAGTAACATTTATCAGATGTCAGGAGGGTGGGAGGAGGGAAGAGGGGATGGGTATATACAAACACAATGAGTAACAAGTACAATGTTTGGGGGATGGACATACTTGAAGCTCTGACTTGAGGGGGGAGGGGGGCATGGACAACATACATAACCTTAACACTTGTACCCCCATAATACGCTAAAATAAAAAAAGTGTTTGTCACATGGTCCAACACATTGTAGGTAGTTCAGAGAATGGTAATAATTATTATTGTTGATTGCCAGACTATTTGCATATTGCTTGGGACATCTATTAATAAGACAAAGCATTTAACTTCAAGAAACTTACAGAGTGATAATTGATAAGATGAGGTAAATACAATGTAGAGAAGCCTAAGCCAGACTAGGTGGGTCAAGGCAGGCTTCTCTGAAGAATTGAGAGCTAAACTGAAACCTAAAAGATGTATAGTCTTCTAGAAAATTATGAGAATAAAAAAAATTTAGGTCGAAGGAATAGTCATGAAGCAAGATGGTAATTGGACCTTTGGGAGCAAGTAGAGGCTGCTGAGGAAGTAAACAGGGAAAATCACAGAGGCTTTCAAATTTCATGTTGGCTTTTGGTTTTTAATCTTCTGGAGGCTGTTTCCTGTTTTGTTAAATTGTAGATAATAATAACTTGTAGATTTGATGTGAAGATTAAGTCCAGAAGTTGCCTAAGAGCATCTTTCACTTATGAAACACTCAATGAATTGTATCTACTCTTATTGTTAATTCATGGGTGATCTGGAGCTATTGAAGATTTTAACAGGTTTGTGTGAAAGGCAGGCCAACCTAGTATGACAAATGGGTTATAAAGAAGCAAGACTGGAAGCAGCTACAGCAATCCAAGAATGAAAAGTCATCACAGTAGTGAAAATCAGAGATTCTTAGGACAGGGCATTGGTACAATGTGGATCAGCTGGATGTACGGGTGAAGAAGACAAATGAGATAGGATATAACCAATGGAAGGAGTCTCGGTTAGGAGCAATTGGAAAGCTCTATATTCTTTTAATATTTCTTTGTAGTAGTATTAATAAAAAATCTTTTTTTCTTTTCTACCATTATTTTCATTATCTTTCTGGTGTGGGATTGTGACATACTTCCTCATTTCACTGTAAACCATTCCCTTGGCTCCAAGCTAAATCAATGCACTCTCTCTTACAAAGAGGAGACTTTTAACAACCTAAAAGAATTTGGCTGGTTTGGCATACAAAATTGGAATTAACTTACTCTATAAAATGTTTGTGATAATTATTTGAAGTGGTAAGACACTGTAAAACAAAAACTGTGTTGATAATTGTAGCTAAAAATATCAACTATGTAGAAATTTTGCTTGTTTCCCAGTCTGCTTTGGCAGTTTGATTCTGGGTTTAAGATCATTGTAAAAAATGGATAAGAGATTTGTGGTTTGGAAAATACATTATAAAGAAAGTAATAAAGTATTTTCTTCTCTTTTTATGTGTGTAAATTAGTTTTTTGATCATTCGAATGATATATGAACACATCCTTATTTGTACAATAAATCAAGCCATATAGAAATATAGGGATTAAATAGTAAAAATATTCCTTCACTTACTTCCTACCACTCTATTCCCTCCCCCTGCAGAAGAAACTGTTAATAGTTTGATTTATATCCTTTTCTACCAACATGGTTACATATGTTAAGGCAATTAAAAGGGAGAAAAAGTCAGTTTAGCAAGGAAGTTAAGCACACTGGCTTCAAAGCCAGGTTGTCTGAGTTAAAACCTAGCCTCTACTAGATGATATTGGGCATGTTATCTAACTTCTGATGTGTCTGCCCTTCCTCATAGGTAACACGAGGATAATATCTGTTCCATAGAAATGTCATGAGGATTAAGTTAGTATGTGTGAAATATTTATATTAGTGTCTGCAATATAGTACATACAATTTGTGATTGAATTATACTAAATATATTGTTCTGCCACTTGTATATTCATAGAGAAAATATAGTGTAGTGATTAAGACCATGGGCTCTGCTTCTGAATCTAATTGTCTGGTACAAATCTTAGTTCCATTATTTACTAGTTTTGTACTTTCAGCAAATATATAAGCTTTCTGTCTTTGTTTCCTCTGTGAAATTGGGATATAGCTTTAGATTTAAGGTAAGTAGTATATATAGAACATTTAGAATGACCATCATGTAGTAGTTACTCAACAGATGCTAATTATCATTATATCATTAAAAATGCTCAGTTTAGTATTTAATGTTATAGATATACCATAATTTATCCATTCTTTTATTGATGATCATTTATTTTATTTCTCATTATTCATTGTTATGAAACATACTAATTACCATATTGTTCTCTTGTACTTAAAAAATTAGAACTGTCTCTACCTTTACTTGCATGAAGAAAGCTATTGCTGTTAATATTTTCTCACTCTGTTTGTCATTCGAAACTTGAGTAAACACTTTCAAGATCCTCTTTTGGATCATTACCATACCACACATTCGATCAGCCCACTCCATTTTCCTATTAGTTTGCTTAAGTACTAGAGTATGAGTGGAAAGCAGAACCATTCTGTGTGGTTAAAGCTATCTTTCTGAGGAGTAAGCAAAAGCTGAGAATCAAAGAAGCCAAAGGGACTTTTTCTGTGTTTGGACTGTTGGAATTTCAGGGACGAATCTTTAGATATCCTGACATTTGGAAAAGGTAAGCCTAAATTTTTACATATTTTGGTTCATGGTGTTTTATTTTCTTCCAAAAAGCCTTTAAGTGTGAATATAAGCAGATTATTCTGGATATATTTATAGCAAATATTATAAACCTGTAAGAGGAAAATTGTGTATTGAATCAAATCTGCTTTATTCTTTTACACTTTTATGGAGTCTATAGAGAAAATTGTAAGTCTAAAAACTGTGCTAAAGAGCTGTGTAAAAGACTGAAATAAGTGCTTAGGGAAGTAAGATTTGAGTCTAAAAGAACAGGAAAAAAAGGGAAGGAAAAGAAAAAGAAAGACGAATGACAATGAATTTGACAAACCTCTTTGTATTTACATTATTATTAATTTTTAAATTTATTTTTTAAATTGACAGATAATTGTATGTTTTGATCATGTATGACATGATATTTTGAAGTGTATATACCTGTGGAATGGTTAAATCTAGCTAATTAAGAAGTGTATTACCTCACATAGCTCTTACCACAAAAATGATAACTATGCATCTACACTACTGAAAAAGTAAACTGGCTATATTTTGATTTCAATAACGAATTTGCATGAGCCCAAGCTATATATTAATTACCACATCTTGTATACATTCTAAGGTATACTCAATTTTTAAATGCAACTCAAATGACATTAATTAAAAGTTCAGTTAAAACCAATTCCTTGACAGCAGCCTTTTTTTTTTTTTTTTTTTTGAGACAGAGTCTCACTTTGTTGTCCAGGCTAGAGTGAGTGCCGTGGCGTCAGCCTAGCTCACAGCAACCTCAAACTCCTGGCTCAAGCAATCCTTCTGCCTCAGCCTCCCGAGTAGCTGGGACTACAGGCATGCGCCACCATGCCCGGCTAATTATTTTTATATATATATCAGTTGGCCAATTAATTTATTTCTATTTATAGTAGAGACGGGGTCTCGCTCTTGCTCAGGCTGGTTTTGAACTCCTGACCTTGAGCAATCCGCCCGCCTCGGCCTCCCAAGAGCTAGGATTACAGGCGTGAGCCACTGCGCCCGGCCAGCAGCCTTTTTAAGTAGACTTTTTGATGATAATTTATCATTTCGAAATAAATCTTTAAAGATAGTTGAATATAATAATTATATAGTTATATGAGTTTATGCTTTTAAAAATGCATGTGCATCATAATATTACCCTGACAATAATCTTGTGAAGATTAATTAATTTCTTTTAATTCATGAGAAAATTGAGACACAGAAACAGTTAAATCAATTACCTAACGTTAAAAGTTAGTGGCAGAACTGGAACCCAAGTCTCCTCATTGTTGGTCCTATTTTCTATTCTTTGAGCAACACTGCCTCCCTAAATCACTGTTGTTTCAGGTATGAGATAAATTCTTACTTGACACTTCAATGTACATTGCGTTAATGAGTTATTTTATATTACAGGAATATACTACAGTGTTCCTTTTAGAAAACTTGTCTAGTAAAATGCTTGGAGAAGCCTTCCTAATTGATCTCCTATACAAAGAACAGAAATATACAAAACTTTGCAAACCATTCACATGTAAGACCTCAAATGATGAACAGGAAACTTGGAAAAAGAAGCTTTTAAATATAGAAGAGAATTCACTTTTCCCTGCTAAGATGGAAAATCAAGAAAAAGATATGAAAGAAAGTTTAACAGAACAAAGTAATAATACAAATCAAATAAAATCCGTGGATGAGATAACTGTAACAAAATGCAAAGGTATACCTCTTCCAGGAAATGTGTCCATTGCATTGCCCATTCCAAAGAGAGAACAACAAGATGAAAGACAACTGGATTTATATAGATCCTGGTCATGCACAAGTATTTGCCATAATTATCCTGACCTACAGATCGGAGGTGACCACGTGGGAAACATGTATGATTCAGGCTGCTTTGTGGAACACACACATGATGATGTTTCTAATGGTCCTCTTTTACTTTCAGTGAATATGTCATTGGGTCATTCTCCTACCATTGAGCCTCTAGAGAAACTACCTGCCTCCAAGTTATTGAGTGCAGATGAAATCCAGGAAAAAAGTATGTTGTTTCAAAAACAGCCCCTCTCTAATTCCATGCTTAATAGTTATATGGAAAAAAAAGTGGACGAACTCTACAAGCAATTTTTGGAAGAAAATCTCACCAAGTGCCTCTCCATAACCAATCTTATGGCTTCCAATCTGCTAATGAACAATGTAAATCAGATTAGCCTCCAAATCTCTCAAGACCAGAACATAGAGGTGTCAAAAGCTCGAGAAGCTCTTCTGCATTCTTTAGCACGATGTAATCTCCACAATGTTTCCCATGGAAACAGTTCTGAATTCAGCACTCCTAACTTACAAATATCAAACCAGACAAGTAGGGAACTTGTATCGCATATACAGTAGGAACCAACTGTAGATTGTTTGGACTGACTAAAGAGACTGCGGTAACAACAGTCTTCTCTGTGTTATCATGTCACATCAGGTCTTCTTTGGAGTGTGGTTGTTATACCTTTTTAGAAGTAATTTGACCCATGTTACATCTGAATTCTTGTAGGAGACAACTATAATAACTAAATCTTATGACCAGATTTTCTTATTGTTTTGACATATTTAGTAGTTTCCACATTCAAGTTTGTATGTGCTTACCTATCTCATTGCCACTGCACCCCAAATTGATTACCTCACTGTCACTTAGCTTTATTTACCACAAAAGTAGGATGAGGAATGGATTGTTGCTTTAAGCTACTGAAAGGACCACTGGTAGATATATCAGAGAGGGGTATTTATTTCTCCAAAAAGTGCTTTTGACTGACAATCATAATAGTCTAGGGGAAATTATTATAATTAGATGCAGATTTAGATATCTATATCTATATATATCTCAAGATTAGGTGTGAGGGCATATACAAGGAAATGCTTAAACAAAGTTGGATTTTAATGATGTTTGAAAAAAATGTGGAGGGGGGGCTTAAGGAAAAGTGGAAAATTTGCCAGTGCTATTTGTATTGAAACTTGGTGCTTTTGAACTTTCCTGGGACAAGCACCAACTTTTTTATATCATTATGTTATGCCTGATTGTTTTCAGGAATGAGAGGAAGGAAACCATACAGGTAGAGTGAAAAAAGTGCATAGAGAACCACTATTGATAAATGAAGAGGCTCTCTCTCCAACTTTTTACACTTCTCGGATTATCCTCAATCATGATCCTGGCTTAGAATAAAAGTCTGCAGGGTACCTAATTGTATGGTTTATTGCAGGCTTAAGAAAAGGACCCAATATATAACAGCTCATAACTCTAGAAATGGTAAAATGATTGGCATGCGCTTGTGTTTGTAAAATGAAATGGTATAAATTTCTCTTATAAAGTTGTTATGATTGCATTATATATTAATAAGATTTGTCCATTAGTAATCACATATTACCCCCCGATTATCTTTGTGGTATTTGATTAAACTTTATAGAATGAGTCACATTCTATAGAATGAGTCACATTCACATCAATTTCCTCACATCTTGATCCTTTTGGTCATACAATCCTTAGTTTATTTTTTCCCTCTTCAAAGTTCTATGATCTAATAAAGTACCCCTGATTTACCTTCTGTTGTTCTCTTTATCATGCTCTTCTTCACCATCCTTTTCCATAATGCTCTAAATCAATTTTTATCATTTAGACATTTAATTCTGAAGAGATAATGGTTAAGGGTTTCAGAAAAATTGACTTAACATCTTATAGATACTGAAAAATAGCTGTTTGTAGATTGTCTTTTATATTGTTACATTTCTACATGTAATAAAAGTTACTAAAATGACAAAATATTTATGTTAAACTTTACTAAAGTGAATTAAATGATACTGTTCAGCATTACTAGTGTGAATAGTTTTCTTAGAAACAGTGATATGTATTAATACTTTATGAAGCAGATATATTCATAGTGTTAACACTACATAGGATTATATAAAAAGCCACAGTATTTAGTGCATATAAAATTTAGAAATGCATTTAGTTATAATCTCAGATTTTAAATTTCCTCCTCTTGTCTATGTTATCAAACTTCTTATTATCTAAAGATACTTTTGGCTAAAAGGATCTAAACATTTATTGTAATACTTAAATAAGGAATGATGATGAATTTGATGTTCTGTTGTATCCTGATTTTATACCTACTGACTTCACTGCTTGAATGAAATATGCATATGAGGTTGTGATTTAGCATGGTTTGGTTTTAAGCAGTCACTCCTCATTCCATTTTTCCCATGGGTATCACTTATATGACCATACTATTCCCTTTCAAATGTATAGAATAATAAATTTCTTTCTGTCTCACTTTTGTGGGAATTGAAAATATTAGTTTCATGTTTCTATAAAAGTGTGGAATGTTAGTGATTCAGCAGGTGGAGAGGATCATGTTTCTTATCAGGTAATAAATCAAGGAGTTTAAGTATGATGCTGAATACAATGCTGCCCACTCACCCACTACCTATATAGGTCAGTTTAATTTATATCCCATCTTTGGATTTCAGGTCACTGTTGTAGGGCCCAGAGTAGGTTTGACCCAGTCTCAGGTAATTTTCTGTCAGGAGTGTCCTCGAAACATTAAAACCTATTCAAAGGATGGAATCTATGCTGGACTCCTGAAATTCTTGAGCTCAATGTGTCTCATGTGTTGGTTCCCAAAAGAAGCCAGTCTCCCTGAGGTTCTTAAGACTGGAGCTAACACAGAAATGGTCCATTCAAGATTGTAAGCAGATTTTTTGGAAGTGAAGAAACAAAGCAAATAGTTCCTGCCTTGGTGGCAGGAATAGAATATATATATATATATATATATATATATATATATATGTACACCCCATTAATTTATTTTCCTATTAAGAGGTAAATCTGGCTCACATAGCATTGCTACATAATGTGTGCTTGAATGAAAGGTGGAAGGGTGGCTTGATGAGAATTAGTGTGAATAATAAGCTGGAATAATTATGCAGTTAAATGGACAATTCTTTTCAGTCAATGCAGGAAGAAAGGAAATCAACAAGTTAATATCAATAGAAATCCATTAAATAAAATTCAAAGTGATTTAATGTTTTCATGACTAGTCATTTGCATGGAAAATTAAGCAATCATCCATGTATGTGTGAAAATCCATGAAAAATGAAATAATGTTTGAAAGCAAAACAAGAAATGGTTGCCAAAAAATGTTCTTATAATGTTAAAATAGAGATAACTATCCTTTTAAAAAATGCTTAGGGGCAACTTGGGACTTTTAGTCACCAATTGTGTGTTCTTTTCCTCAAGATTTAGTAGAAATTTGTGAAAGTGGTCTTATTATTATACTATTACACTAATGGTTTAGTATTTGTTACAGTGTAAATGCACAACATCACTTGAAGTTTTATGAAATCACCTTTAAATAATTGTATTTAAGAACATATCTATTAATATAAAAATGATGAGAACCAAATGAACGTATATTGACTTCAACTTAAAAAATGAATCATTGCTATGGGCAGCTAATTCTTTGAATTTTTCTGCTATTTCTATTTAAAGCTCAGAAATTTTTAGGTAGCAGAATTACTATATAGTTCTGGTTTTTACTTCCCCAAATAAGTGAAGGCAGTTTATCACAAGAAACGAATTGTTGAAAACGTTGGTTTTATCTGAAAGTGACTGACGCCTGTATGTAGGCTATTTCCTGAAACTATTTCTCTCTATAATTGTAAACTGGACCCATTTCTGCTAAATAGACTTTGAGTAGAGTTGAAAAAGCTTAACCAGCTCAGGATCCCAGGGACGTGTGGTTTTGCCTCTCTCCTTTGGAAGTTCAGCTCTATTTTAGAGAGGTCATATAATTATAGAACATCCTTGCAGTCTTCTCCTTTGGAGGAGCTTAGAAATGTTGATACTATAAGGGTTCTTATGATATTGGGCCAGCTTGAATCTGGAGCAGACCTCAGAGGCCAGTTTGAAACCAGGAGTTCTCAGAGCTTTCTGTCTTCCAGAGATATCCTCAGGACATTCCCGGTCCTAGAAAAAAATTGCCTGGCTCTTCATTCATTAAACAAATAATTCTTGTGCACTGTGATAGGTGATAGCAATAAATGGAGAACAAAAATGATGCAATTCCTACTTTTCACTTAACTTGCAGTCTAGCCGATATAGGATCAGTTAGAAATAGCAACTGTAGGGCTATGAGAGGTGCAAGCATGCAGCTCTAGATATTCTACACCAGGGGTCCTCTAACTTTTTAAACAGGGGGCCAGTTCACTGTCCCTCAGACCATTGGAAAGTTTGCACTGTGGGCATGGGACAAGTCGGCTGCTAAGCAGGACAGGCAGTGGCGGCAAAAACACCTGGAGGGCCGGATAAATGTGCTAGGCAGCCCACATGTGCCCCGCGAGGGCCATAGTTTGAGGATGCCTGTTCTACACTAAGACTTTTTGTTTACTTGGCCTGTTCATAATCTAGTATAAATCTTGTATCCAGCACTGTTATTTTGTTGATATCCACCAGTATGGGTCTAAGATGATTAAACATGTTGAACTATTTTTCCATGCCAGCTGGTATGAAGCTGCTACCCCAATCCTCTGAGTCCTACCACTATGACTCTCCTGGCCACTCTGGCCACCCCCTGCTCTGGACTCTTGTATCTCCTCATGACCCAGCAACTAAACTGGCAAACATGGGGCCTTTAGTATCCAGCTCCAACACTACCTGTGGCACTTCCTGTCCATATAAGTTGTTAAATATTTTGATTCTCATTTCTGCTTGTATCTACTTCAGTGTTGAGATTCCTGTTCCAAAAATCTTCTCAGTGACACTGTTATTCTAGACTTGGGCCTTGCTTTTTCTCTTATAGTTCCTAAGTAAATGATGACCTATTCCTGAACTTCAAAATTTTGACTGGACTTTCTAAATTTTAGTCACCTTCCTTGATTCCCTCTTGCCTTTTTTGGAATCTTTATTGCTGTGTGCACCACTAAGGTCACTTGCTTTTTGATATACTATACAAATACAGACTGCCTTATGGAATTATTTATTGCCTGACACCTGTCAACCAACTTGAGTGACTCAAGACACTAAATGATCAATGAGGACCACATCATGTGTACTGGACATTTATTGAAATACTTTATTTTATTCCTGCTTTATATGTAATTTCAGACTTAAAAATTGATAGTCCATTATGCTTTATAATGAATGTTATTTCTGTTTTAGACACTGAGGAGTTATACTTTAAAGGTTAACTATAAAAAGGGTCCATGCCCTGAGATGACCTCCTATGTGAAATTTCCTAAATTTGTGCAATAGAGCTTTATCCATGTAGCTGAACATTTTTTTTACCTGTTAAATGCCTGCCTGCTTATCAGGGAATATGTTGTTATTAGTCATTATCATTCAGTGATAATAATAGTTACTATCTGGAGTATCGATTACATGGTAGGCACTAAACTAAGAGCTTTATTCACGTTACCTTATTTAATACTCTCAAGAACTTCGTTTTATTATATTTTAGTATTTTATTATCCCTGTGTTATACAGGAGGAAATTAAACTTCAGATAAGTTCAAAAATTTGCCCAAGATTATACAGGTCATCAAAATCAGAATTCAAATGAAGTCTTTTTGACATTGGAACCTATTCTGTTAATCTAGGGTTGCCAAATATATCAAATAAAAATACAGAATGTCCAGTTAAATTTGAATTTCAGATAAACAAAAAATTACTTCTTAGTATAAAATATGTCCCCATGCAAGATTTGGTACATACTAATACTAAAATATAATTCATTGTTTATCTGAAATTCAGGTTGAACTGAGAATCGTGTATTTTATCTGACAACTATCTTAAATACTACCTTTTCCTTTTTCCTGGATTATTAAAAAGAGAGAGAGAACATAGAAGGTATAAAGAGAACATTGAAGCAGAGCATCAAGGCAATGGGTGAATAATTGAGGGACCCAATAAAGGGGGAAAAGTGCAAAAATTCTGGAGTTTATAAATAGAAGATATTATTTTATAGTCATTACCTTGAAGAAGATATTATTTTATAGAGTCATTACCTTGAAGGAGAGCTGGGGAGAAAGATTTGTCTTTTGGGTACTCTATATCCCTAGTGGAGCTTTTATTCTGTGATAGGTGTGTTGAGACATCCCTATTTCAATCTTGTTATATAAATATTGCTACAAAAGTAATTGCAGTTTTGGACCATGAATTTTAAATCACTATAACTAGGTTCAAACACATCTTTATTAATCAAAATAGGAACCATTACAATCAACACATTTTTGCCAATAAGTTAATTTATTCCCATAGTATAAAAATCCATGCTTCAGGATTTAATGAATTCTTGGAAAGCATTTTTTTTTGCATCCTCCCAGTTGTGGAAGTATTTTCCCTGCAAAAAGTTGTTGAGATGCTTGCAGAAGCAGTAGTCGATTGGCAAGAGGTCAGGTTAATATGGCAGATGAGGTAAAACTTCATAGCCCAATTCATTACATTTTTGAAGTGTTGGTTGTGCAATGTACCATCGGGCATTGTCATGGAGAAGAATTGGGCCCCTTCTGTTGACCAATGCTGGCTTCAGGCATTGCAGTTTTCAGTGCATCCCATTGATTTGTTGAGCATACTTCTCAAATGTAATGGTTTTGCCAGGATTCAGAAAGCTATAGTGGATCAGACCAGCAGGAGACCACCAAACAGTGACCGTGATCTTTTTTGGTGTAAGTTTGGCTTTGTGAAGTGCTTTGGAGCATCTTCTTCTTGGTCGAGCTACTGAGCTGGTTGTCGCCGGTTGTCACCGGTTGTCATATAAAATCCACTTTTCATCACATGTCACAATCCGATCAAGAAATGGTTCATTGTTGTTTCATACAATAATAAAAGATGACACTTCAAAACAACTATTTTTTAAAATTTTCTGTTAGATCATGAGGCACCCAATTATTGAGATTTTGCATCTTTCCAATTTGCTTCAAATGTCGAATGACCTGTGGAATGGTCGATGTTGAGTTCTTGGCAACTTCTCATGTAGTTGTAAGAGGATCAACTTTGATGATTGCTCTCAACTGGTCATTATCAACTTTCGATGGCCAGCCATTTCACTCCTCATCTTCAAGGCTCTCATCTCCTTTGCAAAATTTCTTGAAACACTACTGTACTGTATGTTCATTAGCAGTTCCTGAGCCAAATGTGTTGTTGATGTTGTGAGTTGTCTCTGCTGCTTTACGACCCATTTTGAACTCAAATAAGAAAATCTTTGAATTTGCCGTTTGTCTAATATCATTTACATAGTTTAAAATAAATATAAAAATAAACAAGTAATAAGCCATTAGCACATTAAAATAATGTATAACATAACCACATTTAAGAATATATTCCAGTATCAAATGGCAAATTTCAACAATGCTAAAACCGTAATTACTTTTGCATCAACCTAATATTATAAGCCCTTTTATAAGGCTTTAGCATAATTCTAACAGATTAATAAATCATCATGTTCAAGGTTGGGATGAGAGAAAGATTTGTTTTTGCCAACTTAATGAATGCTTGTAATAAATACCTTCTGATCATTTAACAGGACCATCTGAAAATAAAAGAGGAGGTAGGAGTCCACACAAGTTGTTAGTGTTTCCTGCTGCAAGAAACAATTTTGTGTTCTACAGGGATATAGTATATGAAGAAAAAGATTTGCCTAAATTTCTCCCAATGCTTGAGAAACTTTATATCATTTTGATTTAAAATGATTTTTTTCTGATAAAAAAGGATATTTAA